CTGCTCTGGGTGACCCTGCTTGGGCAGGGGGTTGGGCTGGGTGACCCACAGAGGTCCCTTCCAACTCCCACCATTCTGTGATTCTGTGATTCCACCTTCCCCCTGTGCCCCCTCCCCACACAGCCTTTCCCAGCCCGTGTCCCCACACCCTCGGTGGGTGATGGGGGACGCCTGGCAGTTCAGCAGTCCGAACCACGGCTTGGCCTCAGCCAGTTACCCGAAACCCCTCGGGAACGGGAGAATTGCTGCTGGATTCTCCGTATTCTCTTCGCGTCCCCTTCGCACCGCGCAAGAGCTGTCGGCCCAGCGCCCATTTCGTATCCACGGTTCTGCACGGAGAGCGTGGCCATGGCCGTCCCTGTTGGTGGCCCATGACTGTCCCCATCGGTGGCCTATGACCATCCCCTTCGGGGTCCCACGGCCACGACCATCCCTGTCGATGACCCACAACTGTCCCATCGGTGGTCCACGACCATCCGCATTGGTGACCCACGACCATTGCCATCAGTGGCCCACAGCCACAACCATCCCCATCAGTGGCCAATGACCATCCCCATCAGGGGCCCAGGACCATCCCCATCAGGGGACCCCCATCAGGGGCCCAGGCCCATCCCCATCAGGGGCCCACGACTGTCCCCATCAGTGGCCCACGACCGTCCCCATCAGGGGCCCACAGCCATGACCATCCCCATTGGTGACCCACAACCGTCCTGTTGGTGACCCATGACCATCCCCATCAGTGGCCCAGGACCGTCCCCCATAGGTGGCCCATGACTGTCCCCATTGGGGGCTCACGACCATTCCTGTCGGTGACCCATGAGCATTTCCATCAGGGCCCCACAACCATCCTCATCGGGGACCCACGGCCATGACCATCCCCGTTGGTGGCCCATGACCGTCCCCATCAGCAACCCACAACCATCCCCATCCGTGAGCCATGACCAACCCCATCGGTGACCCACAACCATCCCATCAGTGACCCACAACCCTCCCCGTTAGTGGCCCACGACCGTCCCCATCAGTGACCCATGACCATCCCCGTCGGTGGCCCCCAACCGTCCCCATCAGTGACCCATGACCATCCCTGTCGGTGGCCCCCGACCGTCCCCCTCAGTGACCCATGACCGTCCCC